TCTGTGTGTGTGTGTGTGTGTGTGTGTGTGTGTGTGTGTGTGTGTGCGTGCGTTTGCGCATGAAGTACTCTAGGCGGATTGAAATGCCCACATGATGGGGGCACATGCCGCCTCATTGTGGTTGGTATAATACAGCAGCAGACGTGTGGCAGGACATGAGTTCGATTCCTGTAGCAGTAGGACTACTTAGTTGTTGGCCCGCCATGGTCGTTGTGCATTACATGGCTGCATTCTGTGTTTCCTTGTAAAGGAGTGGGCTTTCCCTCCTTTTTTGAAGTGTTCCCCTCGTAAGCCAGCTGTTAAAAGGGAAAAAGTAAGAAAGCCACTTGATATTGCTGGCAAAAGTGGAGTTACGTATTGATCCTTTGTGGTAACACCTTCCTCCTGTTCGTCCAGGTCTTCGGCTGGGTGAGATGGAGCGTGATTGCCTGATTGCCTACGGAGCAAGCATGCTGATTTTGGAGAGACTTATGATCTCCAGCGACCAGTTTGAAGTACAGGTCAGATCTGATCTCTGATATTTCTTTCCTAAGTTTTTTGAACTTTTTCGAAGTTTTTCCGCTTTTGTTTTAAACTTTTTTGAAGTTTTTTCCTGATTTTATCCCACCCAACTTCATCTGTCTGTCGCATGCCTCTAAGTATGTAGGCTGGCACAGGACCAAGAATCACCAAAGTGGGCCTACAATGGGCTCCCGTGGGTGCACTGTGGATCCACTGGGAGCCCACTGGGGACCCACTGGGACCCCACTGGGGACCCACTGGGACCCCACTGTCGAATCAAAGTGAGTAGAAACGACAATGCAACGCAGCATAAGAGGGACAAGCAGCAATCTGAGTCATCAGACTCTGGCCTGCCTACCCCCAAAACGTGGCCTTCCTGGGTCCTTACCGGACGTCCAGGGCCCAGGTCCCACTTCTTACCTGAAATCGCAACTTCTGACCGTAGATTCGCAAGATCGACGGTCCGAAATGAAGAATCAGCTGAAGTGGGACTTGGCCCCAGGACGCCTGATGCTGCAGCAGGGATGTCCTGAAACGGACAAGGCTGACGGTTTGTAGTCTCTTTGTACACATTCAGGATGAGTTTGTTTTTTTTTTTTTTTT